TCAAAGGGGTTTAGATATGCTCTGACTGGGACGTATCTGATGCCCAAGCTCACTGGCTACAAGGACGTTCCAATCCCTGAAGGACCGGATGTTGTGGATCCTCAGGAAGAAGACTTTATCGAGGAACAAGGACTCTCCTGATCCTCCTTTGGACTCCGATGATCAAGCAGACCTGGAAGAATCAAACAAGAGGTTCCAGGCGTTGTACAAGGAGATCGGTGACACCATGGAGTACCAGACCCTCCACTATGCGGTACCTTTCAAAACTCGTTTGACCCCTGAGATCGAGGATGCTGTGAAGCACGTGTATCTTCAAATAAGGTCGGAGGGGTTGCCAGTGACCCGAGTCCATTCAGACCGAGCTCGAGAACTCCGAGGAGGTAAGCTTCGCTCATGGCTTCTTCACAGAGATGTCATACCAACAACCGGAGAAGCCCAGGCGCCTCAGACAAATGGCCGAGCTGAAGCAGGCGTCAAACGTGCTAAGGTAAGAACGAAGACCCTTCTCAGAGCGGCTGGTTTGGACACCTGTTGTTGGCCCTTTGCTATGTCCTTTGCGGCTTTCCAGCAGCATGAATGTGCTTTAGGCAGAGGTCAAACCCTGATACCCTTTGGATCTCCTGCGCTGGTAAAAAACAAGATTTACGGAACTGGAGGTCACTTTGATCTTGATGAGCGGTGGCAAGGTGGAGTTTATGTGGGTCCGTCACATGAGCTACGGCAAGGACATGTTGTTCGCTTTCCATCGGGAAGAGTTGTGACTTCCTTGCATTTGAGGGCGAATGCCGAAGATCCAGACAGCACTGTGCCTTTGGCTTCTGTGGAGGCCAGTTTTCTGGCGCCGTCTCGAAGAGTAACTGGCAAGAGACCCTTGGTGGCTCATGAGGCACGGCATGAAGAAGACCTTGTAGAACCCTCAGACGTTCCATCAAATCATGGAGATCCACTGGGGCATGATATAGGACATAGTGAAGCTGCAGGCTGCAGGTGTTTGGACAGATGACGAGAGTCCAGCTGTTCGACTTCTGGGAGGCCGCACACCACAACTCATGGCATACAGATCCTTTAGTCCTTCAGAACCTTCAGAAGTTCCCTCAAATCATGGAGATCCACTGGGGCATCCTTGGCATTATGGGCCAGTAGCGGTTAAGGCTTTGAAACCTTTGTCGGAACCGGAGCGTAGGGCAGAGGAGCTGGCAAAGTCATACCTGAACGCGAACATCATGGGATCCGTTCTTGTTTTGCAGCTGTTCGAAACACTCGAGGAAGTGCAGCAGTTGTTCACGAGGGCGGCGCGAAGAAAACCCAGAGGAAAGGCTACAAGTTGGACAACTGGCGCTTTTACTCATGGCGGTGTTTCAGGGCTAAGAGATGGAGCTAAGAGGTTGCCAAATGTGACTCGGTTCCTTGCGAAGTTTGCTGGGGAGTTCATGGGCGCAGAGCAGTTTGCCACAGTGGTGATACAGCGTAATGGCGGTGGTAAAGCCCATCGGGACTTTCATAACTTCCCTGGATCCCGTAACTGGTTGTGTCCTTTGACTTCCTTCGAAGGCGGCGGTTTATGGACTCAGCTAGAGGGCTCAGAAGAGAAGGAGGGTTCCTTTGAGGTTGTGGAGAAGGAAGTGAAGCCAAGTTTGCGTGTACAAGGTCGTGTTCGCGAGACCAAAAAGGGGGAGGTGTTCTCCTTCAATCCCATGATGTGGCATGAAGTGCAACCTCATGCTGGAGATAGGGTCATGGTCATTGCATATACACCGAGGCTCAGTAACTTGGACGGGGCCGAAGCTGATTACTTGAAAGACCTCGGGTTTCCAATCTTCGGTGAGGAGGAGACTCAGTCTTTGCATGACCAAGTTGTTCCTGATCCTCCAGGGGACGTAGCCAGAGGGACTTGACTCAGATTGTGGGCCACCGCTTCTTACTCTGAACGAGGCTCATCACCAACTTCTAGAAGACCTGCAGGAGAGAAGCCGGTCCTTGAGATTACTTCTTGAGGAGGAGCGCGTGCTGGCCAAGGACTTGCGTCAGGCGGGCAAGCTTGTCGAAAGGGAAGCGGAGAAGGTGGAGTTTAGCATAACTCAGATGCTAGACCAAGCAGCTCGAAGACTTTCTCAGCAAGACAGGGCTATGCTTCGAGTGTGCCTGAAGGCGGCCTCTGAGACAAACGAGCCGGACTACGAAGACCTTCTCGAGTCCCTGGAGGGCGAGCTTCAAGTGGTTCATACCGTTCCTCTCTCCCAGGTCAAGCCGGTCGTTGACAGATGGCATGCAGCCATACGCAAAGAGCTTGACAACCTCTTCAATGGAGGAACTTTGGTGGAGATAAGTCGCGAGGAGGCGCGCTGTTTAGAACGCCAAGGAGTCTTGAGATTGGTGCCGAGCAAGGGCGTACATACGCTCAAAACTCCGGCTAACAAGAACGAGAAGTACAAGAGAAAATATCGCCTTGTGCTCTGCGGCAATCTTGCCGCTCCTGAAGAGCAGTTCGGCTCGCTGTATGCAGGAGGCGCATCGGCCGAAACGTTCAGGACTGTGCTGGCAGTAGCTGCTGGAAAAGGGTGGCTCGGCGCAACCGCCGATATCACAGGGGCATTCCTCCTTGCACCTTGGCCAGAGCACCTTCACAGATACGCGGTTGCGCCGCCGAAACTTTTGATCGACAAC